TGCACAAGGGATTTGTTTTTCTTCACATATTCTTGTCGACATTTGTTATTTTCTTTCTTTTTTTTTTTTTAAATAGTAGCCATCCTAATGGATGTGAGGTATAGTGTCTCATTGTGGTTTTGATTTATATTTCTCTAATAATGAGTGAAATTGAGCATCTTTTCATATTTCATCCACTCCCTTATTTTAAAAGAAATTTTTTTTCCCTAATTTTTAAGAGCACTGTGCCCAATTCTCATTTATTCTAAACGAGATTATGTAAGATAGGTTTATTCAGCTATGATTTCAGCTTACCTGAGGAGAGAAATTTCTTTTTAGAGACATTGTTGCTATGTGTTATAACATTTAAGTTGCCCTTTAAAGTAAACAGCAAAAAAAAATCTGCCAGTAAATTGGAGTTGACTTTTTTTAATGTTCACATTGTTCAGTTGGACTAGAATAGGGAATAGAAGCTTCAGAGTTAGTTTTATCCACCTCATAGCTATTGACTGCCCATTGGGAAGAGGCCAAAGACTTTTTGTTGCTTTTTGAAACAAAATAATTTAGGTGGACCTATATACTCTTATGATCAGGTTGTCTTCTATCTTCTAAATCGGATAGCTGTCTAGAGTATGTGTCACATTGTTCCCTGTCACATTGTTCCCTCGTGTAAAATCATTCTGAAGAAAAACTGCATTAACGGTATGTTTTCCTAGTGTCAGAAAATTTATTTATGAGAACCCATAGTGTTTGAGGTCCTGTGTGAAAAGTATAAAGAAACCTTTTTACATACCTTATTTAACAGTACATAGTAACTGACATTTGTCAAATGCTTATTATTTGTGAATGCTTCTGAGCTGTTTACATGTAGTGTGTTTAATCATCACAGCTACCCTATGAGATAGAGGAATACTATTATTTTTACAGATGAAGAAATGGAAGTACAGAAAGTATTAAAGTAGGCAGTGGAGTTCACCCACCTGGTGCCAGAGACACAAACCTCATTATAGAAGTGTTTCTTCACTGGATTCTAGGAGTAAGTAACAGTGTTAAGTTTTCCTTCTTCTGGGGTTGTCCCCGTAGCTGTGTTTCAGAATTAATAAACAATTATACTTGCCAAGTAAGCTTGGGAATTTTTTTAGTCATTATTGTTTATAAAAATCCTGATTTTTAATATATCTGCCTTTTTAATGATGAAATGTAAAACTCAGAGATAAAAAGGTTTATTTAGGAATATTTGGTAAATTTATGGTAGCATAAAATTATCATCTTAAATGAAGTACAGAGTACTTTCTTGAGATCAGAAACGGGCCCTCTTTCGACTTCTTAAACTTCTCAACCTAATGACACCTAGCGTATTTCTTGGGGAGGGGGTAGACAGGGAGAAAGAGGCTGAGAAGTGTGATTCCCATGCTGGCTGTTCCAGGTTAGGGTATTGTATTGGACACTAGCTCCCTCATTACTTGACAAGAGCTGAAGTAGAATGCTCCTTGGGGTTGTGTACAGAAGGAGTTTTAAAGTTTCACTTCCTTGATCTCAAAGCTTGCATTTTGATGGAGTAGAAATATGGTGGCCATGCCAAAAAATAATTGAAATTAATTTAATTTAAAAGCCTGGTGCTTTTTAAATGACAGATACTTTCAGTGGCTACTAGCCTGGGACTTTCAGGAAGGAGGCAGCTCATAGTTCAAAGTCTGGTTTACCTCTTGTGGGTGACTTAACCCCCTTTTAGGGACTGCCTGTAAGTACATGTTTTCAGGGCTTAATTTTTTTATGTTGTTTTGTTCTTTGAGGGAGTTCAAAATGAAATCATCTCAACATTGTGTTTAACAGTTTTACTCAATTCTGAAATTAACATTAAGAACTAGAAGTACACATTTTCTTGTTTTATGCCTGGTCCAAGCCAGGTGTTGGAAGGCAAGGGAAGAGAAGAAACAGATAAGTAAGAGTGAGAGAGTGGCTTAGTACTGAAGAAGGGAAAACAGAGCAGAGCTTCAGAAGACCAGATGAAAAGCAGGGGAGCTCAAGTGTGTCAGACCCTGTATCCCCAAAGCTTCAGCCCAGTACTTAATGTTTATTCTTAATTAAATAACTTTCTTGTAAGTTATTTTGGTGCAACCCAGAATCTTTTTTTCATTTCCACCCAAACCTTGCATTGTATCATCTTTTCACCCTTGATGAGATTTTTTTACCCAGGCTTTCCTTGACTTAAATCTTAAGGAATTGTTTCTTGGGCCTCTTTTGAATATTCTTAGTAGTTTGACTACATTTATTCACTCATAAATTTATAGGTAATCAAATGCCATACTTTGTAGGTTTTCCTGTTTCTTTCAACTGGACTGTCTGTGGGAAGATTTCTGTTTTTATATAATAGGCTTTTTGAAACTTGCATTTAGGCCAGGGTTTATTTTTCACGTGTCTGTTACATTTTGTTCATCTAATAATGTGGTTTGAAATAGTCCTTCAGCTGATGTCTTGTCTTCTAGAATATTGACTCTTTTTTTAGAAAAATAAGCTTATTTGGAATAATTTTATACAAAGTTTGCAGAGATGCTACTGACTTCCCAGATATCCTTTACTCAGCTTCTGGGGAATGTTCACTTCCTGCTAGCTGGTACAGTGATCTAAATCAAGAAACTAGCCTTGGTAGACTGCTATAGACTACATGGTGGTCTTCATTTGGATTTCATCTGTTTCCCACCAGTGTCCTTAAGTTCGGGGACCCTGGTCAGGACTTCTAGTGTCCTCCATCCCCTGTCTTCTGGGACAGCTTCTCTGTTTGTCTTTGGTGATCTTGACACTTTTGAGGAGTACTAATCAGGTGTTTTATAGAATGTCCCCAATTTGGGTTTGCCTGATGCTTTCTCTGTATTAAATTATGGCTGTGTGTTTGGGAGAAGAATAGCCCAGAGATGCAGGGTGTGTGTCAGCACCCCACATGGCACATGGCATTGACTTGGCTTTGCACCGGATGACGCGGGTAAGGAGCTGTCTGCGGGTGTTTGCTCTGCAGTGACCAGTTTTGTTTATTTGTAACATACTCATCCTTTGGAAGTAGTAACTGAGTCCAGCTCACATTCAAGGGGAAGAGGGTTAAACTCTGCCTATTGAGGGGAAAATTGTATAGTATTATTTGATTTCTTCTGTAGGGAAAATGCGTCTCTTCCGCCTTCATTTATTTAATAATCTATTTGTCATTATGGGCTCCTGTCTTCTTTTTACAGGGTCATACTCATTTCACTTGGGGTTATATCCAGGTCTGCCTTATCCTTGCTCACATTGTCCTGGCTCTGGCTTTGGGAGCTGTCTTGGGTTGGCCCATGTGACACATGCCATCCTTTTGTTTTGGGAGTGCTTCCTTGCTTTCTGGACCTATGAGATGCTTTAGTTGCACCTTGTGTTTTTCTTCTCCATCGTCAGCTGTCTTTAAAGAGAAGCCCCGGTTCCTTGTCATGGAGAAGGTGTCTGGGGAAACCCTGGTCTGGGCATTGGTGTGGTTCTGCTGCTGGCGTCTCTGAGTCTAGGCCCTCATAGCTCACAGCTACAGGTGCTCTTGCTGCTTGGGGGTCCCTGTAAGGAGTTCGGTATGAACACCAGATCTTCCATTGTTTCTGTACCTACCCATGTGTGTATTTTCACCTGAACACTAGTTCTCACTGATGTCTCATAGCTAATCCAACACCACGAAGTTTATTCTAGCTTTCTCCTTTTGCATGATTATTTGTAGTTTCTTTGTCTGACAGTGAGGACCTGGCTCATACAGCATTTGCTTTAACGCTAGTGTTCCTGCAAAATAATTTCAGGATTGTTAAGGCAGACTCTGGGAGGCATACTTAAACAAATTGAGTATAGCATTTCCCAAGTATTCTTTCTTTTTTAATTAATTAATTTTTTTGTTTCCCAAGTATTCAAGCAGTTCCTTCTCCTCAACCAGTTTTGGTGAGGCTGTTTCATACATTTTATAATACAATTCTATACATTTGTCAGTCTACATTCTACCCTGGCATCCCCTGACACCCTGGTTGATTTCTTTTTTCATTTGCATATATTAAAGTTTATTCTGTGTGATGTACAAAACTCTATGAGTTTAGACAAATCCAGAGTCTTCTTGTTCCCACCACCCCTAGGCAGTTGACTTTTAACTTTCATTCAGGGTTTTTTGTGATTTTCTTTGCCAGATCTCCTGTCACCCCCCAATTCCCCCTATTGAATAATTGTGGAGCCACACTTCCATTATTCATTCACGAAAAAGGACATCCTCTCTGTTACTCTTGTGATTTTTTTTAATGCCGGGTTGCATTTCCTCAGATAAAAGCATAATGAGGCTTAACATGAGGGAAGAGTTCTAGAATTTTAGAAGTTGAAGGAAGGTAGAGATCTATGAGATTTTACATTGGTTGTTGGGCAGGTTGTCCTGGCAGGTTGGGTATCTGGGGCAGAGCTGGAATGTAGACTCTGATTTCCCCCCACGACCTTTACTCAGGAGACTTGAGTTAGGAAAGATGGACTGAGGCCAGGGTGGGAGAGATCCTACCTTTGCTGCAGGTGTCAAGCTGTGTTTATGGGAGTGATCCTTTATCTTTTGTTTTAGGACACAAATTCTAGGAGTCAGATGTTTGTTTAGTACTCTGTGTGATTTTGGGAAGCATTATGGTATTGTAAGTTATTTGCAAATTAGAGTTTTAGTGAATTATTAATAGTTCATTCACTTTGCTTTTGAATGCCAATCTAAGATCAAGTGTTCTGAGTGAATAGGTAATTCTGTTAAGGGTGGAGGAAAGACGTAATTGTGAAAAGCTACACTTGCCACCTTTGTTTTTTTGTTGTTGTTGTTGTTTGTTTGTTTTTTTTTTTGAGGTGGAGTTTTGCTCTTATTGCCTGGGCTGGAGTGCAGTGGTGCAATCTTGGCTCTCTGTAACCTCTGCCTCCTAGGTGCAAGTGACTCTCCTGCCTCAGCTTCCTGAGTAGTTGGGATTACAGGCACCCACCACCATGCCCGGCTAATTTTTTTTTTCAAACTTATTCATGAGATATTTATTAAAATAATACATTTAGGGAAAAAAATCAATACAATGTATACATCATTACTGAAAAGTGTATACCATCATACAAAAAAGGATTTTATTTTGGGAAACTGTTTTCTAATTTATGGCAAGTTTTATTTTCAGAAATAAAACCACAGAACAACACAATCGAATTCAATCTTAAAGGCTGGCATGCTGAGCAAGGAATGTTCTTATTCTTTGTAGGAGCTCCTTCTTTACACTGTCAGGTACCAGGGCTCTGCCTTTTGGAGTGATTTCAGCCACCAAGTCACCAACAGTAACGTGTTCTAGTCCTTTTTCTTTAATTATCTCTTTACAGTGTGCCTTCAGCTGATCCTTCCAGCCACATTCAATTAATTTAGCTCTCAGCAACTCTCTGAGACGTTCTCTTTCTCCAGTTTCCATCAACTTTTGGTTAATCGCTGCTCTCATCTGCGCATCTTTGTTCATTTTGCTAACCACCATCACCGCGGGCGAGGGCCGTCCCAGAGACGAAATGACCCTTGCACTGAGGACCGTTACCTGCCACACTCTTCGGCTGCCCGGACGTAGACCCCCCCCCGGCTAATTTTTTTGTATTTTTAGTAGAGGCAGGGTTTCACTACGTTGGCCAGGCTGGTCTCCAATTCTTGACTTCAGGTGATCCACCTGCCTCGGCCTCCCAAAGTGCTGGGATTACAGGCATGAGGCACTGTGCCCGGCCACCATCTTTGTTTTATAAGGTTCTGCTGGATATTGGTCTCTACTGAATCTTACTAGTTTTAATTTGCTGATTTAATGAATCTTTGGGAACCATTAAAGGCAGTGCCAAACAGGGGCAGTGTTTAAATGTTTTTGTGCTTGCTGGCTGCCAGCACCAGGCTAGACCCTTGATACGAAGATGTGTAAGCTGTGCTCCTTGTCCTCTTGGAGACCCAGACATGTAAAAGAATAATAGTTTGTCTGAAGTGCTGTAGCAGAGAGATGACCAGAGTGTAGGTGTCGTTTATGATAGTACTTCTTCAGCTTTTCTTTAGGTTGTTTTCTTTTAAAAAGGGATTTTTACAGTATAATTTCACTACCCTGATTACAACTTTGTTGGCCTTTGCTTTTTTCTTTCCAGCTTTTTACTACAAACGTAGTTTTACATAGTTGTGTATACACAATATTGTATTCAGAAATGCTTTTGTTTAATATTTTATCCTAATCTTTTTCTGTTTCTCCACAGTACAGTATAGTGGCTGTATCTGCCTATCTCCGTAATTTATTTTTTTTCTCTTAGAAGTCTGCCATGATCCTTTTTATGCTTCTGTTTTTTATTTGGTGAATTGGTTTCTTAGGCTCTATTTCCTGGAGTGAGGTTACCGGGTCAAAGAGTATGAATGTTTTACAGCTCTTGAAATATATTGCCTGCTGTTTTACAACACTGACAGCATTACTTGAAAGCTGCCAGATTAGACTTGATCCCTGCTAGTCTCAGACTTCATCATTCCGCACTTTTGCTCTTGATCCCAGGGTCAGAGCACGGTGGGTCCTTCTGCCCAGGCAACAGGCCAGGCTCACTTCCCGACCTTCCTACGCCACGCCCCCCCGCCAATGCCCCATGGATCCTCTCCTTGGAGATCTTGCCCACGGCCAGCTTCTCCTTTCAGGCCTTGGTTAGAAAGCCACTTCTTGTGGGATGCCTTTGCTTCCACTGTGGGCCAGCAGCCCCTTCTCACCCAGGCGTTCTTCACCACCTTGTGAAGCTGGGAGATGAGTCCTGGCTGCCTCTGAACTTCCGGCTGATGGAGGTGGGCAGGGCTGGGCTCTTACCTCCTTTTAGCCTCTTTTAGTTCTGCCCTGCTTCCTCCCAAGATGTGTGAATCTAAGGAACAAGCTCTCTTTTCTAGGTCTCCTTGGAGGGGTGAGGGATGGTGAGCCAAGAAGGGAGTAGTCACTTACTGTCTCCTTTCATCTTAATGTCTCTTAATAAGAGTATAGAGTATACAGACTTAACTATTAAAGATGTCTGGGAAAAAGCCAGTAATTTCTAATGATTTTTAAATAGTTTACAAATCACTGTAAATGTAAAGTGCTGTGTAATAAAAGGATTTGAGGTAAAGAAGTTGGATTATAAAGTACCATTTCTAGAAGTGAGAGGATGAAGCAGGCCTAATTATAGATTTGTAAACAATCTATTCTGTTTTAGCTAGTGTACAGTATTTTTAGATTGAGGGATAAAACAGCATTTTCTTATTCTAAAGAATAGAATGTTATTTGACTCATGGGGTGTCGTTTTGTTTTTTTCTTATAAAGTAAAATGCTTTTATTGAAATATTTACCTAGAATTCAGAAAGTGATTTCTTCTTTTACTAATGCATCTTGAGAAGGTTTTTTTGCCTCTCAGTGAGATTTCATCATAGCTAACTTTCCAATAAAGCATGGTGACTGCTTTTATTATGAAAGTTGGTGAGAAGTGAATTGAACTCTACGGTGATGTCCAGTAGAGTTTTCTGAGGTCATGGGAATGTTATGTGTCTGTGCTGTCCAATTAGTATATTAGCTTCTGGTCTCCTGTGACCACTGAACACTTGAACTTAATTTTGAATTTAATTTAATTTAAACTTATTTTTAGCGTAGCCACACATTGGATAGTAGCTTTAGAAACTTAAGGTTAAGAGTGACTCACATTTTTCTCCTCTAAGGCCCTGTGGAGAGTTAATGTTCCATTGTTACTGGGATCACCTGATTTATTTTAAAATTCTGTCCATTGTAGAAACAAAAAAACCTGCCAAAATTTTAGTTGGATTACTGAGTATGTGAAACAGCAGGAGAGAATTTGGTGGTCTGGGACTGTAAATCATTTAGAACATTTTTTCCAGGTCTTTTTGGTATATTTTCAGGACTAGAGAGAGTCCAGAGGACTTTGACCTCTCAGAGGTGTTGCTTCTCTGCTTGCTCCTTCGTGTGTTGTGGAAATTCGAGGTAGTGTGGATGTTACAGTGGGGATTCAGCAGAAGTAAAGAGGCTGGTTTCGATTTTTCATCACTAAAAAGGCAGTTCATGTAGACCTAGCCCTGACATGGTGTGTGGGACACAGAATAAGCTCATGGCAGTTGCATTGAGAGTGAACGGCTGTATCCTTATATAGTCTCTACGTGTGGAAGGACTTAGGGAGGATAAGAACTGGTTGACAGGTAGGTGAGGGATCATACTCTTATTTTTAAAATCCTGATGATTTCACTTATCTGACACATTTGATCTACTTTGAAGAAATTGTTTTGGTTTCATTGACAGTGGGTGGCTTCTTTCTGTCTCCTTCTTTACCACCTCTTTATTTTCTTGTGTTTTTCTCTTCCTCTCTTCCTTGAAAATACTATCATGGGGTCAGCTGGCTTTGTGTATTTTCAAGCAGAGTGATCTTTGAGCTTGACAAGAATTGAAAATTGATTTGCAGTCTAGATGGGATCATAAATTACTGATAGAAGATTATTTAAATTCGATTTCTCACAGAAATTTCTTAGTGGAGCAGTGGGTTACAAACTTTATTATGGTATTTTTTTACTGTTTGGCTTTCATGGATAGTTTTAATAAATGTGATTTTTCAGGTTCTGAACAACATGTCTGCTTGTTGAGCTTGCTGCTGCAGTGTTACCTGACATCTGATGAAGTTTTCTTCTCGTTTGCCAGGTTGCACAGAGCATTGAAGATCACCATCAGGAAGTGATTGGTTTCTGCAGAGAGAATGGTTTCCATGGCTTGGTTGCATATGACTCTGATTATGCACTGTGCAACATCCCCTACTATTTCAGTGCCCATGCCCTAAAACTGAGCCGGAATGGGAAAAGTCTCACCACAAGCCAATATCTGATGCATGAAGTTGCCAAGCAACTGGACCTGAATCCAAATCGTTTTCCTATTTTTGCTGCTCTCTTAGGTAGGTGGAGTAGTGTGAAAACTATTTTATAAGAAAGTGATCATATGATGAGCACATTGATCCTTTAAGTATTTCAGTGCTTCAGTGTTGTGGATATATATTTCACACTGAAAAGAACCAAGGTGTGGGCTGTTCCTTAGCATTCCTTGCTTCTATATTATATTTTTGGTATAGTTAATGTGCTACTTTTGTTCTTAAGTGTATGTTGAGGTATTGTTCTATCTAGGAATTGTTTAGATTAACTTTGTGAATAAACTCACTTAAGGTTTTGGAAAACCAGCATTCTAAATCACAGATGTCAACACATGGTCACTATGTAAATTAGACATTTAAACCTTTGGCATAAATTATGTTTATAATAGAAGAAAATACGCTATGGAGTTAGAATGGTTATATTTTCACCTGATTTTCAGGACACTCGCTAGTTTAAAAGAAAAGCAAAAATAAACTTCGTACCTTGTTTCCAACACCTATATTTTAAGTAAATGTATACATGTCTTTTCCTTGGAGGAATTCCTTATGCTGAATACTCAGAAAGGACGAAAATCTTGTTTAACTATGACATTATATTTTAATTTTCTTTAATTAAAACTAATTTCCTAAGAGGTAATATATTTGTCTGTCACTTTATATTTGCATTGTATATTTTCTTTTTTTTCCCTTTTGTCAACTACCCTTTCTTAATGCTTTCATTGCGCTTGTCTCACCCTACTAATACCCAGCTTTAGTTTGCTGAGAGTTTGTAAGAATTGTGTCCAAATATAAGTAAACATGTTTTGGAGGGAGGCACTTCTGTGATTAGAATCCATGAATCTTATGGGATTTGGGGCTGTTTTGGACACACAAGGCCAATTTGGGAAGCTGTGTGGTCTCCAGTGCTCAGTTACTGGCCTCCCTTGCAGTTTGTATTCTCTAGAGGCTGGCAGCCCCAATCCAGTCCTGTTCAAGAGGGGATTATATTGTGGGTTATTTTTAGAAATTCCTGGTTTTCAGAAAGATTTTTTTTTTTTAGCTGGGATTACAGGCTAATTTTTTTGTATTTTTAGTAGAGGTGGGGTTTCACTATGTTGGCCAGGCTGGTCTTGAGCTCCTGAGCTCTTGTATTTTTAATAGAGACAGGGTTTCGCCATGTTGACCAGGCTGATCTTGAACTCCTGAGCTCAAGTGATTCACCCACCTCGGTCTTGGCTGGGATTACAGCGCTGAGCCTTTTTTTTTTTTTTGAGGCAGGAACTCACTTTGTTGCCTAGAATGGAGTGCAGTGGTGCAATCTCGGCCCACTGCAACCTCCACCTACCAGGCTCAAGAGATCCTCACACCTCAGCTTCTCAAGTTGGTGGGACTAGAGGTGCACGCCTCCACGTCTGGCTAAATTTTTGTGTATTTTTGGTTGAGACAGGGTTTTACCATGTTGGCCAGGATGGTCTCCTAACTCTTGAGCTCAGGGCAATCCACCCACCTGGGCCTCCCAAAGTGCTGGGATTACAGTCATGAGCCATCACACCTGGCCACAGTTTTTTATATATTATTTTGTGAGAGCATTTCAAGTTTTACTATATGAGTCAGTCAACAAAATTGTGATTTCACAAGTTGTGTTTATTTGGATCTAATATCAAATACAGTCCTTAATAAGGGAACTCTTGTGCCTTTG